CTAAGAGTTTTTCTCGATTTGCACACCGCGCCCGGAAGTCAGAATGGATGGAACCACAGTGGTATTTACATATGACTTCTCACGTGACTAGAATGGAAAGATTTTTTTTAGAAAAATACATACGTACAGCATATTCATTCTCTTGACGACAGGTAGACAAGGTAATGTGAGTTGGTTGAACGGACCGAATGGAACCGTAAATGCGGATCGTACTCTCAGCATAATTCAACGAGCCATAACCTCTCTGAACAAGCCTGACTACAAGCATGTTATCCCCCTGTTTTCTCCTTTGAACGAACCTCGAGTGGGAATAATTGGACTCGATGCAACACAAAAGTGGTATCTTAAATCATATGAGGTGATTCGAAATATCACGAACAAGGGTCCTTGGAATCCGTGGTTAATATATAGCGAAGGTTTAGCCGGTTTATCGGCTTGGAGAGGTTTTATGAAAGGCTATGAAGAGGTGGCACTTGGTAAGTAAATATGAAAATAAATTTGTGGTGGATGATAATTCTGGCGTTCTTGATCACACCTATCTTCGGTAATAGACGTGCACGAATACCTGATATTCGATCCCAACCTCATGAGGATGTCGCAAGAAGATCAATTCGTGTTTCCATGTGCAGCATGGGGTATAGCCCTTAACAATAGTCTTCGGGATTTTGGATTGACGTTCGCTGGTGAATGGTCCGCAACCACCGATGATTGCGCTTTATATCTTAACGGTGTTGGCGGCAAAGCTGCTTACGAAGGGTCATGCGCAAATTGTACGTGTAGGGGAGCAAACGATTGGGAAAATTGGACACCTCAAAAGGTAAAAAAAAAAAAAAAAAAGGAGAGAAGAAAAGAAAAGAAAAAGGAAGCAACTACATTATAATAGTAGATAATATTCAAGCTGACGTTCTTTTGTTCCGAGTAGAAAGCCTTTATTAGGCAATTTGTGGAGGTACAGATGGACGTTTTCGAAATGGGCAGCGGTTGGTTTTTTTGGACATGGAAAACTGAGAATAATGTAAATCCGACATGGGACTATAAACTCGGATGGGTGGGTTTTTCAATCCGAAATGGATTTTCGGGTTGAACGTTCGCCGCTAATATCGATGTTCCCACTACGTAAATAGGACCAAGGCTGGATCCCCACAGATCCGCGCCAAAGGAACACCACTTGCGCATCGCTCAAAGAACAATATCCACAAATTTACAATTCGCTGGTGAATAAGAATACATAATCCACCTATGTATTATTCTAAATTCACATCAAAAGCACACATTCTAGATAGATGTCACATTTTTCTTTATTGTCCTGTTAGAAGAGATTACTGATTATTGTAAAATTTCGCGATCACGTGTCAAGATCTGCTTGTTCGGCCAATCGTCTACTTTCGTTAATAATATATATATATATATACAGTATATATAGTACGCGGTAGACAATAAAAAAAAAATTTTCTTTCGTTTTACTAACCACGCGTCCGAAGTTTTCCATTGTATCGGCGAGTCATTTTTTTTCGCGTTCTCGCGTAATATCGAAAATGGTTAAACAAAAAAAGTTTGGAACGAGTAAGGGGGATGACAATAAGAAAGGAATTAAAGATGAAGGTACGAGAGATCGGTTGACATGTTACTCGTGAAATTCTCGAGCTAATGAAGCATTTTCAACTTGTGGTTCGCTCAGCCGAGCAAAAGGTGTTGGATTATCTGCGAAAACAAAATCGGCCTTATAGTGTCAGTATCCTTTTGAATGTTCCTTGAATTCGTGAAAAATGTATCAAAGCATCAATAAATTACGCTTTTATCTTCAACGCGCACCATCACAGCTGATATTTCAAACAATCTTCACAATGCCGTCACGAAAGCGGCCATCCAAAAAGCATTGACAAACCTTGTTGAAAAGGATGAGGTTGGTTGCAAAACCTATGGAAAGCAATCAGTCTACGTGGTGAGACAGGTAAGGATCGCGAATCATGGCGAGTTGTACGATTCACGACTTCGCTCGCTATTGACACGGTGATAATTGAAGGATCAATTTGAATCTCCATCGGCCGAAGAACTGAATGAGATGGACATGAGGATTGAAGAACTGAAAAAAGAAGTTAACGAATACAAGGATCGAAACAAGCAACTACAATCGGGTAATTATGGTGTATTGTTTATACATAGTTATGACGCATCTGAGTCACCTACTTTATTTAACGATGATCTAGTGTTAAATGGCTTAAACAATTCGTTGACCAATGAGCAAATTATGGACAGGTAAGACGAACCCACTGTTGTTCGATGATAAGGGTTTTATAGTATTTACTTTTACTTATCTCACAGGCTCGATGCCTTAGATAAAGAGGTAACGTTGTTCACTTGATGATTTTCATTTGCCATAAATTTTTTCGTGCATTAACTTTAAATCTCTAAACGGAAAAAGAATGAGGGTTACGAGGAACGGCTGAAAGTGTTGAGATCGGGTTCTAAACAGATATCGGCGGAAGATAAGAAGCGTATTGACGAGCTGTATGAGAAAAATCGTAAACTTTGGAAGCAGAGAAAGAGAATGGTAACGTTGGAAGTTTTCATCTACTCAGGAGAATCTAGGCCGTCACGAGTTTTCGAGAGAAAAGAAAATGATGGAAGTGTGATTTTTTTTTTTTTTTTCAGTTCAACGAAGTTTTCAACCAAATCGTAGAGGCCACCGAAAAAAAGGCCAAAGACTTTATGGTAATTAGTCTTGACCATCTGTGTTCTCATACATGTACGATACCTTCTGGATTTGACCTGTATTGGCAATTTCATTTCCAGGAAGAATTGGGAATTGAGATGGACCCAATTGACATTAACGAAGACCCTTTGAAAAATTTGTGAAAAGTTTACCGCAATTGTAAAGAGGATAGCGATTTATTTTGAAAGGATCTCGTTGCCTTCTTTCAACTTTCCCTCTTTTTTTCTTTTTCTTTTTTTTTATTTCCTTTTTCTTTTTTTCCACTGTATACGGCATATCGCATCATTCAGGATTTCGAATTAGGACCAAACATACATGCACATTGACCTATTCCCACAACTCTTGTGCACCAATTATGTACAAGTCACGTCATCTGGTTAAATCATTTACGCCGCCCGTTCACGAAGTCGAATGTCCACATGATCGCTAGCAAATGCATTCGATTTAAAATGACTCAACCATTTGAGGTATAAATATACATCGCCAACTTAGGAAGGCTTAGGCCTTGGCCATTCAAGCAGGTCAATTCCATCCGTGTCTACCATGGAATACACATTACCGTCGTGGCCTGTTATACGATGCGATTTTATCCATGTCCTTGCATCCCATGCATTTAATGCGGACAAAGATAACCTTATAGTGAGCGTATATAAGCGTCCAATTTTTACTCATCCAAATCGTGCACAGTTTTTGCCCTAGAGCCAGTCATCATAGATTTAGTTTAGTGACTACTAAAAAAATTAGATTACATAATTCCGGTCTAATACAAAATGGTATTTAAGTTATTCGCAAAATTCACCGTTCCAACCATTCTCCAATTTCAATCCTCTCAACCGTCAAAAAAAAATAACTTGGTTGCCACACTGTATCCAACACTCTCATCAGACGCGACTTCGAGAGGCGCGGCAGCTCGTCATAGCATGATTTCCACGTCCTCCGCTGAAGAGATAAACTCTTGGTCTTCGACTCCCGACGAGTCTCCAATTCCCGCGGATATTAAAGAGGTCATTCCAATGACAACCATGTCCGTAGAACAAGAACTCAACAGAGATGCTTTTAAAATTTTGCAACAGTGCATAGATCTCTTGAAAATGCTTCCCGACGAGGAAAGCTTTGTCTCTGAAAGCAAATATGTTCCCTCGAGTACCATAGGAAAGCATGTGAGGTAATCCAAATCGTGCCAACGGGTGTCATTAATTTATGCATGTGGGCTCCCCTTCACGTTCATTATTAATTTTCCTCTACATGTAGGCATATATGTGATCATTTTCGGTTACTATTTGACTCGAAACCCATGTATACAAAGAAATCATCCTTTGAGAATGAATCCTTCAGCACTTTGGATGACAACGACAATGATTCGATGAACACATTGAACGACTCCTCCGAATGGAATGTGAATTATGATAATAGAATCCGTAACGTATGTATTTTCACGCCTGCTTTCCGCGCTGTAGGCATCGCCAATTTAAACGGTTTAAATGTTTAATAGGGGACAATAGAGACGTCGCGTATGGCAGCTATCCAACAGATTGAGCGATTTCAATCGACCATCTTAGATTATAGCACCGTTATACCCCTCAACACGCAAATAAATATGAGCACTACGGCCGGTAAAGACCCGATACATTTGCAAACGACATATGGAAGGGAATTATGGTTTTGCTGTCACCACGCGGTAAGCATCTAGATCGAGAGAACTATATGCGTGCATGTATATATATATATATTTTTTTCCCGTAACATACTAATGAAGAATTCTTTATCCTCTGCAAAAGATTCATCATTATGCTCTTATCAGGGTAATCTGTCTCGAACACAATATTCCATTTCCCGAAGAATTCGGCATTGCGCCATCGACTCTTTCGTATGTGGAGAGCAAGAACTAATGTTCTTTGTAATCGGGCGAAATCATATATTAGTAATTCTATAAGAACTTTATTTTCTTTTTTAATATTTAAGGGGAAAAAAAATGGAAAAATTTCTTTGTATTATGTATTGTAGTATAGACATTTTTTTTGTATTATAAACAATACTCTAATAAAAAAAAACTTCAATTGATGCGAACAATTAAACCATCACTTAATAATTTGCAAGAAATGGGAAAGTTCTATGATGCCGTTACACCGTAGCATGTAGGTTCTTCTCTCCTTAATTATTGCGTGATATCAGATTTCCATAATCCACTTAAACTTTGGCGCTTGCAGAATAAAGTTAGTGATCCGCCTGGACCCGGAACCAATACTTGATCATGTGATAATTGTAAAGTAACATAAACAAATAGGTTGTGCAATATAGTAAAGAAATAATTTTAATTTGAATATAGCTTTATTAATAAGTTATATTATGCAATTATACAATAGCTCAAATAATTGTTAGATGATTATACTGCATATACTAAAATAAGCAAATAAATATTTATAATTTAGAAATCAATAGTTTATTTTAATTTATAAATTTATTAATATCTTATTAATTACTTAAAATTCAATAGAAAAAATCAATAATGTAGGATATTAAGATTATTTTATATACTGTATATAATAAACCAATAAACTTATTATTAATATAATTATAAACCAAATCACTTGAAATTTTAAAAAAAATTTTAAATATAGCTTTAAATTTGATTTGTAAATATTATTATATTTTTTTTTGCAAATTTATATATTAGTTTTAACTTTTTTTTTAAACACTAGCTCATTCTTGCACCAATTTATATGCTTTATTATAACTAAGTTATGTTTTAGGAACAATTGGGATGAGTAATTACCTATATTGTCTAAGGATTTACAGATTAACGAATAGTACAATAGGTATCTATTTATATCTTACCCAATTAGAATAAAATAACTATGTGACTGTCTAGTATAGAGTTGTCTCTAGATTCTAACTAAGCTATAGGAGTTGAGGAGTCTAATTTTATAAAGTGACCTTGCCATATTAACCTATGTTTGAAAACAGCACTTCTTAGAACTTTTATGATTTACCAAATGACCTGTTACTATTCTTTATTAAGGAGACTAATGTATAAAAAACACACCTAAGATATTCAATACTACCAATATTAGGGATCTCTTATATAAGATGATCCTATTAACATTTAAAGTTTTTTTTTCTTATCTATAGGACTTGTCTTATATCACAGTCTGTCTTTATGCTTGATTGAAATGATCTTATATGAAGAACATTAGACCATTTGATTTTTTCTTGCCTGTTTTGTCTGAAGGCCTGTCTTGTATCTTCAACATCACACTGGACTGAATCTTGTCTTCTTTTTTGGGCATGTTCTATTATTATTTAAGTGAACAAATCCTTTATTTATATTATGCCTGATGATTAGTTCTATATAGGGAGATTATATCACTTATGTTTACCTTATTTGTAACCTATATTGTTTAAAATCTTGTCTTGTTATAGCTATAATAAGTGAATAGGTTCTCCTTATTACCTTATTGAAGCATTTAATTATCATTATAGAAGAAATAAGATCTTTGTATCACCTATGGCTTATTTTTTCACATTTGTTCTCATGTAGTATTGAACGAACTCTAAACCTTGTGATTATAACATAGGAGTACTACCACTGTGCTATAGACCCACAGGTCTTTTAGTTTTAACTTATAAATTTATTATTAATAATTAATAAACTAAATTTTATAACAATTTTTTTAAAAAAAATCTAAAAATATTTAAATAGTAAAATAATAAAATAATAAGATAAATTTCAATATATTTCAAAAAAAATTTTGTTTCATTCATTTATTTTTTTTAAAAAATATATTTTAATTAAGTTATGTATAATTTATATTTTTAATTATTTAAAAAAACCTATTTATTTTTAATTTAAAAAATTTTTTTTTTGATTTTTTAAAAAATTTATTTTTATTATATAATAAAAAAACTTTAACATAATTTTAATCTTTATTATTTAATAAAAAATAAATTTTTAAAAGGTAAGTTAAAAACAAAAAATAAATATTCTTTATTAAAAAAATATTAAAATTTTAAATTAATAACTATAAAAAACTATTTATAATAATTTTTAAAAAAACTTTTTTTGCTGATTCACTTTTTCCTTAAAAATTTCCTTTTTTGATAATTTTCATGAAAAAAAGAAGCCAGCTTAATACACTTTACTTCTCAAAGATTTGAAACTTAATAACAAACTATAATATTCAGTCACTTTCTCAAAGATTACTCTATTTATCAAGAGAAGTATAGGCTGTACTACATCATTATAGCTCTCACTAGTCAAAAAATATTTATTCAGTATAATGCCACTTATATAACATTCGTCAAAAAAACAAATAATTCAGCATATTAATAACATAAATAAATTGTCAATCTATTTTTACCATATAATTTAGCATATAATTCAGCATATAACTCAGCATAAATAAATCATTAATTAATTTCTATAATTTTTTCCTCAAAAAATCATTAGATATTTGTCAAAATTTCAATTTTTGTCAAAATTCATGTATTGTGATAAAAATAGCATCTACTACCATTGGATAGTTATTTTTAGTCATGATCTTCATTCTATTTCCATTTTTA